TGAGGGGCACCCACTGCTCCCAGCACCCATGAGGGGCACCCACTGCTCCCAGCACCCATGGAAGGGGGGATTGAGGGGCACCCACTGTTCCCAGCACTCATGACAGGGATTGAGGGGCACCCACTGCTCCCAGCACTCATGACAGGGATTGAGGGGCACCCACTGCTCCCAGCACTCATGACAGGGCTTGAGGGGCAACCCCTGCTCCCAGCACTCATGACAGGGATTGAGGGGCACCCACTGCTCCCAGCACCATCACCATCCCCATCACCTCTTCTCCACCATCACGGCCACCGAGAGGGAGGCCAGGGCTGTCACTGTCTCCACCTCCTCTGCCTCGTGCTGTTGGGCCTCCAGGAAGGAGCAGCCCAGTTTGGAGGCAAAACGCTGCAGGGTCACCCAGTATTTACCTGCGGGGGGGGGATCACAAACCTCAGGAGGTGCTGGGATGGGGGGGGAACCCCAAGTCCCCTCTGCAGGGCACCAGCCAGGAGGTTGATGGGGCTGGGGCTGCACTGGGAGGGGTGTTGAGCCCCTGGGGGTCCCAGGGTTTGTTGGAGAAGGGAGGAAGGGAAGGGAAGAGGTGAATGAACCCCCTGAGCCCCCCCAGACCTGGGACACTCACTCTGCACCTGGATCACGGTCTCCAAGGAGCGCAGGGCGTTGGGGTTGGGTTTCTGCCTCAGGCTTTCCTCTGGGAGAGGCTCCAGCTGCCCCAGGGAGACACCAGAGGGTCAAGAGGAGCTGTGGCCACTTCAGCCCCCTCCACAGCCCCCCCTGGCCCCCACGGGTCCCCACCTGGTTGCCCAGCAGGGCTGAGACACAAGCCTCAGATGCGTCACAAATGGCCGTCAGGTCGTGGCCACCTTCCAGGGCCAGGACGATGGCCCCACCTGCCAGGCTCATCAGCTGCTTGGTCAGGTAGCCAAAACCTGCAGGGACAAAGCCCAAGGTGGGGAGGGGGTGAGTGTCCCTGCCCACCAAGCTGGGAGCCTCAGGGTTGGGCTGGTACAAGCCCAAAGGTCCCAGCTTGGGTGGGCAGTGAGAGGAGCCCAGGTGGTCCCAGGTGGGCAGTGGGAAGAAGAGCCCAGGTGGTTCTAGGTAGGCAGTGGGAAGAAGAGCCCAGGTGGGCAGTGGGAAGAGCCCAGGTGGGCAGTGGGAAGAGCCCAGGTGGGCAGTGGGAAGAAGAGCCCAGGTGGGCAGTGGGAAGAGCTCAGGTGGTCCCAGGTGGGCAGTGGGAAGAAGAGCCCAGGTGGGCAGTGGGAAGAGC